ATATCTACATTGAATACTTATCAAATCAATTTATTTTTTCTCTGAAGCAACAGTAGATATGATGTAGTTTAGGAGTAGTTGATTTTATGATTAGAAATCGGTATGCAGACAGACGAAGTTGAACGAAAATTCAAGGAATAGACAGACAATTCCCCGAAGATTTGCGGAGAATGTTGAGAGTCATGGTGAATAGCTATGGTAACTCTAGACGTCCAGCAGCATACTGGTATGGCGCCCCTATCTTTTATACGCGCAGTTTCTGAAAATCTCCAACTTTGATCTCGACTTCTTCTCTCAAACTCCAACACGCGTACGAGCGCGTTTACATAAACATAAACACGATACACATTGGGACAGGAATCCAAAGTGTAGAATGGGTCTTTCTGGGATCTTGTGGCTCGCGACGGTAGCATCATCTCGGATAACCAGTCAGGATACATGACCCTAAACTGGCCCTCACGTCTACTCGTCTGGGCTACCGAATTTTCAGGAATCAAGATAACACAAGTGTCCACGATTTTTTGAATCCAAAACATCATAAAACTCACTAAAGTTAGCTCTCATGAAACCCAAAGAATTGCAAAAACTGCTTGATGATTTTTGCCATCATCTAGGAGTCTAAAAGAGTCTTTGAAAGTTGGAAGAAATTCTTGTGATGTTCGACAAAAGTTTTGAGGTTTAGGTATTTATTCAAGACTTTTAGCAAACAAACAAGCCTAACAAGTAGATGGAAAAAGACCATGCTTTTAGGGGAGATGTGTGGAGACCTTTGGACCCTTGTTTACCAAGAAATTTCTAAGCAGTCGGCTCTCGCGTGTCCATCGCCAAAAAGTGAATGAGGGATAAAATATGAAAAAGAACCGCAAATCCATGGGTAAATGTAGCTATGTGTACTGATCATTCCGCCATATTGCTTATGAAAGGGAGGACGCCCAGGCAGATGTTACTCTCTTCTTTTCCTCCCCCTCCCCTCCAGAAGTGGTAATTCGAGTGTTTGTCCCCTTCAATTCCCCTTCTATTCACTTCCATCCACATGATTTCCATGCGGAAAAAAAACCGCAACTTCAATTTGAGAAAGTTTTTAAAAAGATTGTACTCAATGGGTGCATCTAAGTATCAATATTATTTGTACATCAAGATTTAAGGCTTTGGAGATATTTTAGAACTTCTTTGATACTTTTTTATTTTAATATTTTGACAGTTTTTTTTTGAAATTGTTTAGCATGTTTACCTAAACTACTTGTCCATGCCATAATGAGATTAAATTAATCTATTTATCATCAATAATTACCATGGAGTATTAAATTTATCAAGAGTCTAGATGTCGGAACTTCTTAGAGTCAATGAGAGTTTACTGCTGAATATTTTAAACCATCAAGAATAAGTAAAATAATTTATTAGTTTCTTTTTCAACGGTCATTTCAAAGCAGAAATATTTTCCCAGTAGAAATCATCCTATTTTTTTTGTGAGTGTAAGTTTAAATGTTTTATTGTACTGATTTTAGGTGTCATGACAGAGTCAAGAAGTCTGAATCCACTGGCTTATCTAGATCCAATATCTCTTAGAGCTAATCCCCACCGATATCTATCAATTCTCTTGTCCATTAGTATCTCCAGTTCCGATCTATCTTTTGGTCCTAACGTCAATCACTGATCGATTTACGCCTGCCCACCTTAGGATCCAACACTCTATCCCTAATATCAAACGAATAACAAGGAAATTATCTACTTGAGAACGCATCCAATAACTGTGGTGATGATCAGGAGGTAGACCCCAAACATCTTCCAATTCGATTCGAGTTATTACATTTTTAAAGGGAGAGAAACTCGAGTGAGGTGTGCGCCATCAAGAGAAGTTCAGGGGTTGCTTCTCAACAATGTCTGGTGGCCCGGGACTGGTGTCCTACATGGACACAATGGACGCGAAAAATCATCCATTATCCTCACGACTCAAGGCTGTAGGACCCGTTGCATTAACACAATAGTGTACGCCCATATATCACTCCTGAAACATTTTTCCAAAAAACTGCAGCAGCTCAATGAGTTTCTGTAAAATCTAAAGTGGTCTCTAAGAAGTGAGAAAAGAAACCTCGAATGCTTTAAAATCATCTTGCTTATTTTCTATACTTTACCTGTATTTCAAATATCCTCTGCTTTGACTTCTTCTTGTTTTTCGAAACTTTTCTTTGCCATTTATTATTTTTTTTTCTTCTTTTTACAATTTCCTTTTTTGCAAGGTCATCAATAATGAAATGTTTGGATTACGTCCAGATCTTTTGTGCTCATAATGATTCTGGTTTCTTTATTCAGTTTAATAGAATTTAGAAGAATATTTTGAAATATAAAAGTTGAAAATAAGATGAACGGTTTTGTGATTGATCTTGGAATGATATCGATTTTTCTTGAGCAGAAAAAAAGCTATTCCTTGGATTGGATGGATCCAAGTTCTAATTTCAAAAAGCCAATTCAAAACTTTGTGATATATAGTTGACTTAAACCTACCAGCCCTACAAATTAAGAGTCATTTATCCAAATCCTATAACATTTGCTATCCTTGTTCATCATGATGGTATTTAGTTTCTGAATGGTGATCTACTTTCTCGACATTTACATCAACAATAATCTCCTTAAGATTCTTGGTAGATTCACACTCACCAAATTCTGTTCAACACTTGCACGAGTTAGCTTGAAACTCCCCAACTACCTTAGGATGTAGGACATAGTTAGCAGAGAGGTCTAGTCAGCATAACTGGAGTTGAATCCCTTGGGTTTTCTCTCTCGAAAACGATTATAATAACTATTTTATCGAGTTGAGATCTGGACCATTGTGCTCTCCATTCTAAAAGTCATAACACGAGATACACTGACTCGAAAAATGTATCGGGGATCGTGGCTCGGTCTTATATTCACTCACTCAGGATGTCTTTTTTCTCTCTTCATTGGGTTGCAGGACAGTGAATTTAGACTTGGTATGAGCGCACGAGCCGACGGTGAATGTGTGTGCGAGTAGATCGGAGAACAACGTGAGCAATATTTCACAGCATATTGTTGCCATCTGCACTACGTAACCCCGACGAGACAGAATAGAGAACGTAGCGACGCTTTTATTTATCTTCTATTTATTTGCCAACGCGCTACTGAGAGAACCCCTCTCTCACTGCTGAGGACATTTGAAAAGTTATTAATCGTTGAGTTTTTAGAAAAGAACTCCCTCGTCTTTCTTCACTTTCTTCCAAGGCTCAGATTTCACACCGGATTAATACCATATTATTTATCACCTCAATTTTCCTCGAGAATTTACTTCAATTTAACGAGCCACTTTTATTTTAAATAACACATTTTTAATTCTCTATTGCACTGATAATTAAGGCTAGGCTTTCCTAACCTTAAATCACCTCCAATTTTTCTCGTCAAACGGTGAAGTTTTTATTTGTTTTTTTCTGACAAAAAATATTTATAAGTGGTAAAAAAAATGGCATACATGGCTGAAAATAAAATTTGACGGTGTAAATTCAGTAATAATTAAATAATAAATGTTTTTTCTAGTGAATTCTAAGGTGTCATGGCGGACGCTTTTGTCATGAGTCCTTCACTAATAGTCCAGTAAGGGTGCAATTAAAAACAGGGGTAATAGAAAATCTAACCTCCCATTTTGAACCGAGGATTTTTTTACATAAAATTACACGAGGATTCCGAAAAAAGCATTCGCAGGTAAAAAAAATTTACGCGTCATTGTGTTTTTTTGTTATAAACAATTTTCGCCTTCTCGAGCTTGCATATTTTTATTAATAACTTTTTAAATATTCAAAAATCGACAATATTTTATAGGACAATTGTTGTTCTTCACAGTGCAACGAAGATTTCTGTCACCTCATTTTTCTTATTTTCGAGATATCAGATCTCAAAAAATGAAAAAGAGCCAATTTGTTGGTATTACAGAATTCTTTCCAATCGATCTTAAAACGATTTCTCAGCAGAATATCGAACAATTCGATTGTTGTTCTTTTTCTCTAATTTACTACATAGTTTGTTGTCGATTAAAACCTTTTATTTATAATTATTCTCTAAATTTATCAATACTTTGCTGCGAATGGTTTTTTCGGAATCCTCGTGCAATTTTACATAAAAAAAAACCTTGGTTTAGAATGGGAGGTTAGGTTTGCTAATTAAATTGCATCGTTACTGGACTATAAATGTTGATGAATGAATGATGTTTAATCAAAAAATTTCAAAAGAATTTTTCCTACAGTAGTTATAATTCTTCGGCCAATTTTTTATTTTAGATTTAAAATATTCTGTCAAGAACAAAACTCATCTATTATTTCATGATTTATTTAGTGAGAAAGGCATGCTATTTTTACAGCAGAAAGATACTAAGGAACATATATATATATTTATAAGTAAGTAGCAGAGTGCAGAAAATAAAGTGTAGAAAAAAAATTCGCCAAGTTTGCACTTCCGTCTTCGCGCCTTCACTCTCTCGTTCTCTTAGAGGGTGGTGGTTGGCAAAAGGGCGAGGGGTTGGCACTCGCGCGACGGCTAAAATATATTCTCCGTCAACTTCCGCTTGAAATAAATAAAGTCATGCTATCTTTCTTACTCAGTATCGGCCTCTTTCTTACTTCTTTTACACTTTACCACAGAAGGACTGGCATTCGTGTTCAGAAAACCTTATCTTGTGATATCTTTTCTCCCCTCACGTGAACTGTAAGTCGTAGCTTCAAGGGAGCAGCTATAAGAGTCTATTAAAATTTAAATGTCTGTTGGAAAAAATAATGAAATGAAAATGAGATGAAAGCTTCATTAAAAACAATGAAAAAATAATATACCTTGGAGATATAAAAAAAACATTTCAGGGATTTCTTGAAAATAAATCAGTAGTAATTAGTGTGAATATTATTATTATTTTTATATTCAATTGTTAAAATTAACTTTAATATTAGATATTTTTTTTTGTTGATTCTATTAATAAAAAATTCATTGAAATCTTGATTTTCCAGGTGAAAAACCATTCAAGTGTGATTACCCAGGGTGCGAAAGGAAATTTGCAAATAGCAGTGACCGCAAGAAGCATAGTCATGTTCATACATCAGACAAACCCTACAACTGTAGAATGTCCGGCTGTGACAAATCTTACACACATCCTAGCTCGTTGCGCAAACATATGAAGGTAAATTTTTATTTTTATCACTGCAAATTGTAATGTTTTATTTAATACACTTGGAAGTGTTTAAAAAGTTACTAAAGTATTATTCAAATGAATGACGTCATTTTAAAACACTTTATTATTTAATACACTAAGTGTATTAAAATAAAACACTACGATTTAGAATGATTGTATTGTAAATTTCCATGAATATGTGAATTGTAGTATTTTAAATAATTGACCAATAATTTATTTCATTTTGAAAAAAAGATTATTTTTAAAAACAATATTTGTAACTTGTACTTATTTTCATCACTTTAAAATCATAAATAATCTTTTTTTAATCTAATCTGTTTCTTAAGTTCGTTTTTATTTTCTATATCTTTAAACAAATACAATACAACCAAAAGATGCTAAAATAAATAAGGAAAAAGGCAATTAAGAATTAACTTTATTTATTTTATCATCAAAACTATTGAAAAAGTTGGTAAATATTGATAAAATATTATTTTAAATGACTTCTCATGACCAACAGCAATTAAATATTGTTTATAATAATACTAATTTGTTGTAAAAACTTTAAAAAAATAACAGCAATATGATAGAATTACAAATTTCAATAAATATATTAAATATAAATAGATTTGCATAAAATTGTAACAAAACATGTGCACTCAGACTAATTTTTAAACAATTGTAATTATTAGTTTGCCTTAGTTAAAAATTAAATTGAATTGATTAAAAGAATGAAAACCTTTTTTCCAGGTGCACGGAGTATCGATGGGTGAAGGAAAGCTCAGTGGTGGCTATGAAAGTGAAGGAGAAGAAAGTAGTAGTTCTGGTGGTAGTTTATCAGTGACAGGTCACACGGAATCTCCACAACCAGCATCAGTTGTTTCGACGACGACAACAACTTCTCCAACAAACCCGTCAGCTAACGTTAGCAATCACCATCCCTCATCAACAAGACCAGAATTAACTGAATGGTACGTCTGTCAGCCACCGACAGTTGGATCTCAACATAGCCCCTTACCTGGTCCACCACCGCCTCATCATTTAGGACATCATTTTAATCCACTTATGCATCATCAAGCAACGGCTTACTGAGTGTCACAAAATTTTAGCTGTCAAATTTAATGCAATTCAACACTCACTACACTGTGAATCCAAAGTGTGTTGTAGTAAACACACCTACATATGCTTCATGTAAAACACTATAAATAAACTATAGATTTAACATATTTTGGACTGTGTTACAAAAAAGACTGCATTGCTGCTTTCCAGTTCGTTTATAGCAATTAAATATATACATTATTTTAACACACTTCAGATTTACAGTGTAGAGAATGAACGAAGTACATTATTTAGTCACGTTTGTGCCTCAATTTGCTAACCAAAAATTTTATTAATTAGTTATTTAAATAAATGGACAAATAAATAAATTAACTAATTAATTGATGGTTAAAATGATATTCGTATTAATGTTAACAATTTAATCGATGAAAATAAATATATTTCCAGTGATTAGTGGAAGTATACTAGCAAAGAGAAGGCAAGGGCGTGGAGTATTCAAATCGAACGGAGATATCGCGTGTAACTACACTGTAAATCCAAAGTGTGTTACAGTAAACTCCTCTACACGTGTCCAATGTTAAACGCCGTGAACAAACTACAGATTTTAATACACCTTGAAATGTATTAAAAATGACTACAAAGATCTATAGTTTGTTCATAGCAATTGAACATTGAACACATTCAAATGACACAAAGTGTGCGGTTTTAACACACTTGAGATTTACAGTGTAGTACTTGGTAAATGTCCTCATATACTATGACCATTGCAGGCACACTCGGTCATTACAGAGAAAAAAAATTCTTAAATACAAATTTTTTTTTTAATGAAATTTAATAATTTATTATAAACAATTTCTTTTTGTCATTATTAAACAACAGAGTAATTAAATCTTCAACTTTTTAGTAATCAAAATGTACAAACGACGGAATAATCTTACTGAAATACGTCAAATCCCAAGATTTCGTAAACGTGTTAAAATAATACGCATAAAGTGTTTTCTACAGTGAGAAAAAAATTTCGTTAAATGAAAGAATTTTTTATTCAATCAATAAAAGAAACTTGGAGTATTCTCAAGATAATATTTTAATCGGGCTAATAGTAGTGTTATCAAAAACACATATTGTCATTTGTTTCAATGTTGCGACAAGTTTGAAAACAAATTTTCAAGGTTACGACAAGAATGAAAACAAATGACATTTTATTCATTTGAGTAAATAAAATGATTTCAATCAAATATTCATAATTTCAAAGAAATATTTTATTGCGACTATTTGACATTTCGATGTTAATGATCGAATGAAATATTTTTTGTATAAAGTAAATTTTCTTCTCAGTGTATATAAAATGTCCATGAACGAACTATATAAGATTTGTAGAAACTTTTTACACGTTTTATAGTGTGTAAAAAATCTATAGTTTGTTTACGGCATTGAATATTGAAGAGGCTTAACGTGTTAAAAGTGTCTACAAGAATAACACACTTGCAAGTGTGGATTTGCAGTAAAAGAAATACAAAATCTAAAGTTTTTTTTTAAACATAACTATTTATTGTTTATGAAACAATATATTTAACATTAGTAATTATTTCAAATTAATTAATTTCATGAATTTCTAAACTTGAATGATACTAGCTATAAAAAAAGGAATGAAAGGAAAAAATAAATGCAACTCTTTTTCTAAAGCGAGATGTCTTGAGAATTTCTGTTGAAGAACAGGCTTCGTTTACGCTCATAAATATTTCTTGATAGTTTTGACGCAAACCAGGCATCTTTGATCATTTCTAAAAAATATTGTTACATAACAATAATAATAATTATTATTATTTTTATAACACATAAAATATGATAATACATCATATTCTTCTTCGATATAAAAAATATATCATTGTTGATATATTAGATCTTATTTGATATTAACCATATGCGAATTTTAAATTCACATGTGTTTAACGTTTAAATTAATTACAATTCGCAATTAAATAATATGCAAAAGTCAAAAAGGAATTGTTTTTAATGAATTATCACATTTTTTGTCAGCAATGACCGAATAGTGCCCGCTACGGATTTAAGATACACTGTAAGTTCAAGTGAATAAAAACTAAACACTTAAAGTGTTTACAATGTTAAACATCATAAAAGTTCTATGACAATTTTGCAGACGACTTTTAAAGACTTCTTACCATTCACTAAAATGCTATAGTTTGTTTATGGTGTTCAGCATTGTTAAAAATTAGGTGTTTAATTGTTAAACACTTTAAGTGATTTATCATTAAACACTTGAATTTTTCCGGATTTGCAATGTAAGAGTACACTTACTGAGTACTAATTACACGCAAAATCTCCGTTCAAGTTCACTGTAAATCGCAGATCTAAGTATGTAACTACAATGTTAATCAAATGGATGACGTCATATTTAACACATTTATCCGCATTAAAACAATGCATTTTGGAAAACTGAGATTTACAGTGTTTGTAATGTCTCTGTGTATTTCAATTATTTTAAATAATTATTTAATATATTTTAAACAAAGTTAAAGATGAATAGTAATAAAATTATAATTATCACTAAAGTTATTTTCTGAGTTTTTATAAGATTTCGTTAAAATAGAAAAGTATTAAAAATTTGAAAAATTAGTTGAGGAAAATCATTTCTAGGAAGAAATATATTTAACAATTATTTAAAATAATAATTTTATGGAATACTCTACATCCTTGTTGTCCTCTTGTGAGAGAAGGAATTATTTTAACTAAAAATAAATATGCATTAATTAATATTATTAATTACAACTGATATAATAATGTTTTATCAAATAGAATAATTTTTTCTCTCCTTCTAGTAATTGGAAAAAAGAGCTGATAAAGTAAATTATTTATTAATTTATAATTTTTATTGAATTTATAACCGAAATTTGTGTAGCGATGCAATGTTCCCAATGTATAACGCTTGTAAACATCATTTTCTTTCAGAGGGTTCAACAGTGATTGCTAAGGGGATAAGATGATAGTTGCGAAAGTAATTGTATAAATATTTTCAATTTTAGAATTATTAAGTAAAGAAATATTGTACATATTGTTAGATAAGGTTTATTCATGATTATAAGTTATATAAAACTAGAAAAAAGATAAGAAAATGAATTAATTTTATTGTAAAATATATACTACAATTATTATTGTGTGATATTCTGTACAGCATGAGGCAATGTCCTCAATTAAGTAATTGTATTTTAAGGATAATTAAAATAATTATTCAAATTTGTGTATGCGCTTAAGAAGCATTTAATGACAAGAAACCTGTCATCTATGATCATTATGTATTATATTATAATATTATAGTATTTGTTTTACAAAATTCAAAATATACTGGCGATGCAAAGATTACTAGAAATAATAACTCGTTATTTAATTATTAAATCCTTCAAATCCATCCATTTGTTGAAGAAAAAATTAATTAAAGTTTTAATCATAATTTCATAAGAGCAAGTTTTTTCTACTCCATATTCTGATGCTTTCAATAATCAATCATCAGTAATAAATAAAGATAATTTTTTGTATGATTAATTTGAATATTTTTTACATTGAAGAATAAAATCTATTATCTTAAAGTTTGTCCATGAAAAATCAAATGATTTCACTGACTAATCACTGACAGTTGGAATTTGATTCAAAGCTTAGATGTAGTTACGTTTGAACGCATGTGCACACCTGAAACAAAGAATGAGATGGAATGATTAGATAGAAATGACACGCCTCTTTGACAAGATTATACAAAGGTAAGGCACTGATGCTTTGAGGTGTCTTCAAGATCTTGCGATTTGGGTGATGGATTATTTCTAATAATGCGCGGTCTTTGGCTTTACAAAAGATTGTTTTTATCTATCTGTAACAAAAAAAAATATCTATCATTCCACCCAGACAATCTTTTCTTATTATTGACCTTTGAATATTTTCTCTTATAATTACTTAACAATGATAGATAACTATAATTACATAAGAGCAAATCCTTATTTATGTTTCCTTTTAAATTTATTAATTAAAACTAATTGCTTTAGCATTCATACGCTCTGATTCACTGGTAGATGTTTAATTAGATAAATCGATGATTGATTCAGCAACAAGCAAACATCCATAAGCATAAAATCAATAACTTGAAAGTTTTTTGATTCAACTTGGTGCCTTTTTTCTTCTGGAGAAAATTCTTAAGTGAGTAATATGATTACCTTTGCACTGTAAATCTCAGTTTTCCAAAATGCATTGTTTTAATGCGAATAAGTGTATTAAATATGACGTCGTCACCCATTTGATTAACATTTTGGCCACTTTTTACACACTTAGAAATGCATTAAAGGTGACTACAGTGTTAATCAAATCGGTGGCGTCATATTTAACACACTTATCCGCATTAAAATAATGCATTTTGGAAAACTGAGATTTACAGTGTGTTTATATCCTTTTTTTATAATATCCGCGGTCAGAATATCTTTGAAAAAAATATCCTCTTGAAATACACTCTTATTAGATAAAAACATTTGATTTTAAGCTATAACCCCCCCCCCTCCCCCAACGATCACCCCCACAGTTCTAATTCGCCACTTATTTATTTATTACACGAGTAAAAAATGTTAATTTTCAATCACAATTTATTTTATTATTAATTTTATAAAAAATTTAATTACTTTAACATATTTAAAGTTTCTGAAGATTCTGAGAAATAATTTTTGGTAATTTTATACTATCGCAGTCCCCTCGTTATTTGGCTCTAGAAAATCGAAAAATCAACATTTTGGAGTGATTTTTTTAAAGTGATATATTTCCTATATTTTTTTTCTATAAATCCGCCGTAAAAACGAGGATTTAAAAAGAAAAATCATTAAAATCGGATAATTTTTCAATTTTCTAGAGCCAAAAAACGAGGGGACCGCGAAAGTAAAAAATTACCTAGTTTTTTTTTAAACAAAAATGTATTATTGGGGAATATTATATAAAAGGATATTTTTAAGGAAGGATATTTTTGTCGAGGATATTTTCCTAGGATATTATAAAAAGGGATAATAACAGCCGTCACCAGTAATATAATGAAAATTTATTATAAAATTGAAAGCGAAATATTATAAATAACGAAATTTAAATGCTTCTTTTTGTTGTTTCTCGTATTCATTTATTAAGCGTTCGACTGGTTTGAAGAAGAGGAGAAGACAGCTCATAAAATGGTAAAAGTTATCGAGAGTTGGTCTCACGGTTTCTTTACGTCCTGACTTCTTGAATATCCCAGTTGGTAGCCTGAAGAGAGAACAACAGACAGAAGAGTGAAATTGATAGCAAAGGACAAAAGTTCCATCGTATATGAACCTTACCGTTTTGGATGAGCAATATAATATGGTTCTTGTATATTATAATGCTTCAAGTTTTCGTGCACACATTTGGCGCCATGTGATTCATAGAGTATTCGGTCGTTTGTTTGCGAGAGTGACGGATTATTGGGCATTCATAAAGAGTATGTCTTCAGGCTTATAAATGAACCAAGTCAAGTTCGACTATTAATTCACTTTCAACTCCATTAATAAATAATCATTCTTTCGTTTCTGTAATTGTCAATTGATTCTTCTAGCTATTTTTTACATCACTTACATATTAATTTTCACGTCTTTGTTGATCAATCTAGAGGTTGTTTTGATGAAATGAAATTTTATATTTAAAACTTTTTAAATGAATGCTAGCTTTGGTCATTATTGATCATAAAAGCTCTAATGGTTATTTATAATCAGTGTTAGACATAAAGAGAATTTTAATTTTCCATTCCCGTATTACCACCAAATTAATAATTATGAGGCTCAAAGTATAAAATAATAAATATTCCAAAATTAAACATTTTAAATTAAAGAAAAATAGGTCTGAGCACACTTTGTCTATGCTAATACAACAAACTTCCCATTAGTAATTTTTTATAACAAATTCATATTGTTATAAACAATGTATAATTATTGAAAGTCATATCTTGTCATAAGTAATATTATTTTTTTTAAATAATTCAAATCGGTGTGATATATGCATTAGTTAATCGACAAATACAATTTTTAATTGTTTATAACAAATTCATATAGTTATAAACAATGTGTAATTTTTACACATACACATTTACTTAATGGGAAGTTTAAATAACTTCTTTAATGATAATTTGTTGATGAGCTATGATCAATTGTTTAAAAAAGCAGTGGTACTTTTTGATATAAACAATTAAATATCTCGAGAATTATAAGTCGTAGAAAAGTTAAGATTGGTCTCATTGTTTTCTCGTGAAAAGCACTAAAAATAATACTTAATTGTTTAACATTATTTTAATTGTTTACAGCAAATGCAATAGCTATGAATAACGTTTAGTTGCTAACAGTAATAAATTATCTGTAATAATAATTTAAAAAAAATTTTTTACATTCACTGTACATCGTATTTATTGCGTTAGTAAAAACGATTTTCAATTGCTTATGAGGCAAGTACTGCAATATTCTATTACCCATTTGTAATTTTTAATTTATATCATGTTTGTACTTTTTATAATATACAAAAAACTAATTTAAAATTATATTTAATAAAAAAAACACATTTTCCCGTGTAGTCACAATTTCATACTGATGTCTGTCGTCACTAAAAACACCTCAATGAACAAAATCGGTTAATTTTTAACGGACTTTCATTTTGAAAATCATATTGACTAGACTATAGTAATAGATAACGGAAATTTACATATTTTTCAAAATTTTATTATTCGATAATGAAAAATTATAAATTACAAATTAATCACGTATAGATAATCGAATTTTAAAAATCTTTAATTACACATACAAATGGGTATTTTAAGCACAAAAATTTCGAATTAAAATTTAATTGGCAATAAAACTTTTCTGATTATGAGTGAAAAATTTAATTATTTATCGCAATGAATATTTTTTTTATTAGTAAACAAATTAAGCTTATTATATATGTATAAATATAAACAAGAATCATTAATAAACATTGTCATTAACAATTAAATATGATTATTAACTCTTGAAATAAATGCTAGTTTTGGTAATTATTGATCATAAAAACTTTAATAGTATTTTATAACAAATGAGTATAACATTGGCTTTAAAATTGAATAATGTATTTATATATTACTATCATTTTTACCAATTTAGATATTCACTTCAATTAAAAACTTGAATTCTAATTATCAAAAATTTTTACTATGTGGTAATAATAGTATTTTTATTTCATTTTTTGTGTCAAGAATTTTCAATTATAAACGAGATAATTATAAATTAATTACTGTATAATCAGAATTTAATTACCAATCAATGGCTTATTTCCTTATCGATTAGTGATGACTGAGAAGTAGATCATCAGGTAAAACTAATTAAAACTTTAGATTTAATCATAGAAGATAGTTTATTTGTAATGTTTTTTTAATTACATATGGTTATTGCATATTCTTCAAAATGATCCA